CCATTCTTCTTAGAAAAAGCTAAATTCAGAAAATGGTTAGAATTTAGGAAAATAAATCGGGCATTAATTTTATTGTCAATTTCTGGCATTCTGGTTTCCTTTCACCAAAGAAGGACTTCATTCACCAAGTCCTTCATAGCACTTGTCCTGAAGATAAGACTGTGATGGAAAAATTTCTACAAGATCATTAAATTAGAACAAAAGGTATATGCTACAAATAATACCATTCAATGAAATTGCATAATATATGTATCTTCATTTTTTTCAATCTAGGCATATGATTTTACACATATATAAAGTTAAGAAATGATGAATTCACAAAGTCTACTTTCTAGTCAATAGCAACAGTTCATGGCTGTCTAGTTTAGTTTCTTTACCTGCCCAGTAAGAGATGCTGGCTTAGAGAAACACAGAAAACAATTGTTTGTTCAGTCAGTAGAACTGGGTCTTAACCTCTTGGTCCACTGGAATCATGTCATTCTTTGTTACAGTAAGAAAGAAAGGAGCTATTTTCCACATCACTGCATTTCAGGCTTTTATCAATGGACCACCAAGGCTGACACTAATCCTTACCAAGGGAAATTGAAAGTACCAGTCAGGGTTAGGCTTTTTTGGCTTTAAGACCACTATTCCACCCTCCCCCCATCCCCCACCAGCTGCAACCTATCAGAGAGTAATCTAAAAGATTTTTCTCAACTCACAAAAATCACTCATTTTTACCATGATCTGATCTTCATTAAGATGGTTTCGGGCCTTCAGGAATTTAAGCATGCTATTTCACAACAAGAATGAAGAAATATCCTAAAGATATTCCTGCTTCTTTCAAGGCTAACAACACCAGGACCCAGAAGCATTTCCATCAGTTCAATATAAAATTTACATATTTATACTTCTACACAAGCCTCAAAATTTTTCTCCATAGGCAATTTATAATCATCACAATAAAGAGTTGCCAGGATACAAACTGGCTAAATTTGCCTCCCCACATAAAGCATCATCAACAAGATTCTTTGGTTATGAAATACAATTAGGTCAAAGAGCTTAAAATTTTTACTCTTTCCCAGACAAGAGTTAAATATAGTTCTAGTCACATAGTGTCCAGAGCAGCACCAGACTAGCTCTCTAGGCACGCTCTCTCTTTTTTTCCTTTTCCATTAAGCCCCTTCCATTCTAGGATAGGCACATTATCTTAAAATAACTGTGCATACTGCTGATGCAGGAATGAATCACAGAGGCAATTTCTCTGCACACATGAGTCAAATTCACAATTAGCTTCAAAAGCTAGATTGCTAATTTAAGTTAGTGTTGAGAGCTAGTCTTCTCAGAATACATGCCTTACTATTTTATTTAAACAACTTTTCACAAGGCAGAAATTAACCTCAGAAGCCAGACATACCGTATCATTCATACGCTTATTTTTTGCAGTCATTCACCCGCTGGCACTAGGATTCATTTTATTTTTGCCAATACCTCAAAATAGGCCTTTACTAGTACTACTTTGGTCTTGATTTCAGCTGACTCCTTCAGATTTTAGACAATCTGAATTAAAATAGAAATTTAATTTTAAGGAAAAAATTATCTTCATATAATGGAACTTTCTATAGAGTAATATTTCCAATAGAATAAAAAATCATGTTATTTTAAAAAAATCAAGCAAAAATCTCGTCACAAGGAGTTTTAAAAAAAGATGATTTATGTAATTACATTTGACTTTGTGCTTCAGATCACAGGTACTGCTATTTTTCAGGGTTCTATTATAGCCACTACATATAAAATCTCAGAAGTCATATCAACGCATCTATTTATTTTACATTTCTTCCCAAAAGAAAATGGGGTGATATTTAATACAAGATAAAAATTTTAGCCTTTCCTGCCTGAGCCTCCTAAGTAGTTGGGACTACCATGCCTGGCTAAATTTTTTTGTAGGAAAGAAGTCTCATTATGTTGCCCAGGCTGGACTCAAACTCCTGGCCTCAAGTGACCCTCTCACCTCAGCTTTCCGAAATGATGGGATTACAGGTGTGAGCCACCACACCCAGCTTAGCCTTTCTTCATTTAACATTCACTGAGCACTTATTTCTTGTAAGGACTTTACATGGGCAGTATCTTAATACAATCAACCCCGGAGATGGGTAAATATTACCCCTTTAGCACAGAAAAGGAGTCAGAGGCACTAGTAGCAAGCGTGGAGCAGGATTTAAATCCAGACAAGCTGAACCCTACCCTTGTCACAAACAAGGAGGATAGGGGTAGGGATGTAAAATGCAACTAGGGACTAAGCTTAGAATGTAAAAAAATACATTTCTCACAAAGGTATGCCAAAGTTTGCTGGCTGCAAAACTAAGCATGGCCCAAAACAGTAGAAAGAAAAAGGAATACTATCTCACGTCTCCATGGCATTGAAAATTCCATCACAGAGATAGAGGATAAAGATAAAAGAGTTTCATTTACAGATTCATGTTTTGTGGATAAGTACAAATATTCTAAGAAAAAAAGGGTAAGATAAAGTGCAAGATATAAACAAATCTATCAATCAAGACGTAGGAATTGTTAGTCAAATTTATTTAGGAGCTCAAGTAAAAATAATCTCTCCTGACAAATACAGAAAGCTTCTTTGAGTGATTGATAAAACTAAAATGTGATTATTTCAAAGGACAGTAGTGGTACAATATTCTTCTCTAGGAATGCATTTTAAAATTAATAGAAAGGAAAAAAAAAAATTAATAGAAAGGCCGGGCGCGGTGGCTCATGCCTGTAATCCTAGCACTCTGGGAGGCCGAGGCGGGTGGATCGCTCAAGGTCAGGAGTTTGAAACCAGCCTGAGGAAAAGCCAGACCCATCTCTACTATAAATAGAAAGAAATTAATTGGCCAACTTATACAGAAAAAATTAGCCAGGCATGGTGGCACGTGCCTGTAGCCCTAGCTACTCGGGAGGCTGAGGCAGGAGGATCGCTTGAGCCCTGGAGTGTGAGGTTGCTGTGAGCTAGGCTGACGCCACCGCACTCACTCTAGGAAATTTCAACACTGCTCTCAGGAACTGCCAAAAAAAAAAAAAAAAAAAAAAAATTAGTAGAAAACCAAAAGGAAACACTGATTCAACTACCACTGTGTCCATAACTTCAAGTCTATATCTAATGCTCATGGTGAGGTTAACTGACTCAGCTAATTTCAAAACTGCTCATTTCACTTGATGCTAGAGCTTGAGAGATATTTAAAGCATAAATTTTAAGACTCATGAAATTATAGCTTATCACAAGGAAAACAAATGTGGATTGAAGCTGTAAGTAAACAGTTTGCTTCCGAAAGAGAAAAATACCACTTGCTTGGCAGTTCTATTTACAGAAATAAATCCCCCTGTGTTAACAAATAGATATTTAATATATAAAGGCCCTAGGCAACATTACACTTGTTAAAAATGCTATTTTAACTCAACACTGGTTATTACTCCACCATCTTTAAGTAAGCTACATAATTCTAAGAGTGTCCTAGTCATAAGACTGACAAGATCTTTCCTTTTCCAGCATACATCTGGGGCACTGTGTCTTCCAAACATTATGATTAGAAAATTTTTATGGACAATGGCATAAAATAACCTCGTTACTCCTTCATGGACATCAAACGGGACTTTTTAACATAAAAATACATGAACATTATTTAGTCCACATTATAAAAGATGAATGAGGAAGACTCTAGACTTTGAAGTAATCAAGATGAGAGCAAACTAATTAGCAAAACAAAGGACACAGAATTCAGAAAGCTATGATCACACAATCAAAAATGACTTACACAATTAGTCATCTGCATGTTTTATTATTCGTTGGAAAAGAGCTTTCAGGATACTAAAAAATAACTTTCTGAAAAGTGCTATCCTGCACGAAAACACACACCCCGTTTATCATTTCAATCAGGCACTGTTACCAAACTTCAGACTTGCTCTGTCATTTCTGAAAATGAACACTTTCCTTCCAAAAGCCACTCGACGTGAAGCCTGGTCACCATCTGTTTCCACCAAAGTCAACCTCTATTTTAAAAATCACAGTCTGCCATCACGCCCACCTCTCTAACAACAAAGGCTCGATGCAGCCCGAGCCGGCGACTTCTGAGGGGCCCCATTCACCTGGGAAAGAGTCTACGTTTGTTAACAAGTTCATTAATATTAACGTCACCCGGGTTAAATTTTCAGCGCATTTTCAAAAAGACTGCATTAGACTAATTTTCGGGCTGTCTAGCGCCGCGGGGGCTCGTCCACACGTGCAAAGCTGGAGTGCCGCGAAGTCCCCGCAGACTGCAGGCGACCGGGACCAAACTTCGGGCGCGGGTTCGGGGCCCCGCTCCTCCGCCCGGCCACGCCGGCCCCGGCGGCCAGTGGTCTGAACGCGCGGCCGCCGCGGGCCGGAGAGGTCTGGGTGGAGCCGGAGGCGCCCGAACCTCCTCCGGGCCTCCCGCCCCTCCTGCAAGGGCAGCCCAGGACACCGTGCCCGCGGCCGACGACGGGCCGCGCCGGGCGCCGGCGGACAGAGCCGGGGAGGAGACGGGAGCCGCGGCCCGCCCCAGCCCGCAAGGGCTCTCTCTCCGCTCTCACCTTTTCGCACAGCGTCCGCACTTGGTTCTCGTTCAGCTGCTTACACTCGTTCAGCTGCTCGACCCACTGGTCCAGCTCCTTGGTGAACGCCTTGTCGTCCATGGCGGCCGTCCCCTTCCTGTCCCGCCGCCGCCCGCCCCCCTCCCCGCCCCCGCCCGCCCCGCCCGCGCCGCTCCCTCTCCGCCGCCGCCGCCGCTGCCGGCCGGACCGCAGGGTCGGGAGCGCGGCCGCTGGCCCCGCGCCCCGCCCTAGCCCGGCGGGCGGCTCCGAGCGCGCGGCCTCGAGACCCCCGGCCGGCCCGCCCCGCCCCGGAGTCGGTGAGGGGTGCGGGGAGGTTGGGCGGAGCGCGGCGCGGAACCTCCGCACAGCTCCCGCCGGACGCTAACTGCCCGCCGCCTTCCTCCCGCCGGCCTCTCCCGGCTCTCGCCCCTCTTCTCTCTCGCTCTTTCTCTCCCCTCTCTCGGGGCTTCCGTCATCGCCCGGGCATTTCCGCCGGGAAGAGGCGAGCAGGCGGCGCCGCCGCGGCGCGGCACGCGAGGAGCAGCACAGCGCCCTCGCGTGGCTCGGCGGAGAAACGGCCCGAGGGGCCAAGGGTCGCGCCTTCTCCCCTCTTCCCTTTTGTCCCCTTTCCCACCCCGGGCCTCAGACCAAGCTCTCCTGGCTCTCGCTTCCTATCCTGCTCTCTAGAGGAACTTTGTCCTCACTTGAGCCTCCTGCAGTGGTTCTTCAGCACTTTGGACAGGGAATTGGGACCGCTTGGGCTTTCCATGGACAACGTTGTCTTCACAGGATCCTAGCACTCCACGGTAGCACGCATTCAACTTATTTTATTTTATTTCTTATTTTATTTTATTTTTTGAGACAGAGTCTCACTGTGTTGCCCAGGCTAGAGTGAGTGCCGTGGCGTCAGCCTAGCTCACAGCAACCTCAAACTCCTGGACTCAAGCCATCCTCCTGCCTCAGTCTCCCGAGTAGCTGGGACTACAGGCATGCGTTACCATGCCCAGCTAATTTTTTCTATATATATTAGTTAGCCAATTAATTTCTTTCTATTTGTAGTAGAGACGGGGTCTCACTTTTGCTCAGGCTGGTTTTGAACTCCTGACCTCGAGCAATCCGCCCGCCTCGGCCTCCCAGAGTGCTAGGATTACAGGCGTGAGCCACCACGCCCTGCTGGCATTCAATATTTATTGAGTAAGGACATTCCTCCTTCTAGCCTTGTCTCTAGCTGTGGGGCCCTAACATCTCGAATCCTCCCTTTCAACGTTAGAAAGATGAAATGATTGTTCTGCTTGATAATCTGTGTCGCGTCCTGCTCCGCCTTTCTCGACTGTTTTCTGCAGTGTTTACTGAGTCATAATGATTCAGTCATTCCACAAATATTTATTGAGCAGCTGCTAGCTGCCAGATACCTGGTAGAACATGTGCTAAATGTCCATCCTGCCCCTATTAGAGGTACTATTGCGGAACAATCATAAAAACCTCTAGATAGGTGGCATTTGGACTGAATTTTGAACCTTCTCCCCAGGCAAAGCCTTGGAGTGGCCTGGAGAAGAGGATAGTTCTAAGGAATTTGTGTGTGCTTGTGCGCATGCGTGCCGCACACAGGACAAATGTGCGGAAAAAGACCTTTGTTTTGAAAGCTGTAAATATTCCTAGCAACAGAAATAGATGGTGGGAAATGAGGCTGGAAGAGCTTCCACTCTCAAGCAACTTGTAAATAGTAGCAAACCAATTGAACAAAACAAAAAAGGTGGCTCTACAGTACTGGAGAGAAGGGGTACAAGGGGTACCTATATCGTTGTGATAGCTATTGCATCCTTGACTGTAAAGGCTTAAAGGAGGCTGAATTTCAGCTAACCCTGCACAGCTCAGAATGAAGGTGAGAACGAGAATATTTGGTGGGTTCCTAGAGAAGATGGACAGAGAACAGAAAATATACCTTGAGGAGAAATGGCAATTATGGATGATGGTTAATGAGGAAGGTTTTTGAAATGGAAGCAAATATGTTTGGAATTAATGTGAGAGCACGTTCTTGGAGTTAGTGGTGTTTGTGAATGCAAGCCTCCTGAAAACTATAGTCAAGTAGTGCTATAGAACAAATAAGCATTGTTTTCAGTGCTTCGTATATAATAAGTATTTTACATATATCTCCCCATTTAATCCTCCAATAATCCAGGAGGTAGGTGTTTTTATTACCCTCCATTTTACAGGTAAGATAAAACACACGTAGAGGTTTAGAAACACCTGCCCCTGCCATCTGGAGGAGGCAAAGCTGAGACTTGCAGAGCAGCCAAGGGGCCAGGTGATTGCGGTATTACTTTTTGCTATTTTGGTTGTGAAGGCATTTTTTAAATTTCAGCATATTATGGGGGTTGTACAAATGTTTAGGTTACGTTTGTTGCCTTTCCTTCCTCCCTGGAGTCAGAGTTTCAACCGTGTCCATCCCCCAGATGGTGCACATCGCACTCATCCTCTCCTCCCCCCTCCCATCTGCCCGACGCCGATAAATGTTATTCCTATATGTGCACTTAGGTGTTGATCAGTGAAACCAATTTGCTGGTGAGTACATATGGTGCTTGTTTTTCCATTCTTGGGATAATTCACTTAGTAGAATGAGTTCCAGCTCTATCCAGGAAAATACAAGAGGTGCTATGTCACCACTGTTTCTTATAGCTGAATAGTACTCCACAATATACATATGCCACATTTTATTAATCCACTCATGTATTGATGGGCACTTGGGTTGTTTCCACATCTTTGCAATTGTGAATTGTGCTACTATAAACATTCAAGTGCGGTGTCTTTTTTTATAGACTGTCTTTTGTTCTTTTTGGTAGATGCTCAGTAATGGGATTGCTGGATCAAATGGTAGATCTACTTGTATCTCTTTAAGGTATCTCCATATTGCTTTCCACAGAGGTTGCACTAGTTTGCAGTCCCACCAACACTGTAGTGAAGGCATTTTAATTAAAAATAAAAACTGTAATGTATAAAGTTTTTTTCTTTGCTCTTTGCTTCTGTCATGTATGTATGTGTGTTTTCTCCTGAAGAACATAATCCAATCCTTGCTAATTACTTGTCATGTCAAACTGCATTTAATATTAGGTTTGTAGGCCACTTCTAAATTTTGTTTGCCAGAAGCGTTCTTATTCTCTCTCCTTTTGGTCAGAGAATTTTAAAATTGTTAACTTCATCAGCTCCTTTGCCTTAAAAGTATGTGTTAGGTTTTGTTCCGACATAATTGACTGGGCTTTTAAAAACTATGTAAACATTGATATTTTTCTTGTTTTATACCATTTAAAATATGAAATATGAATCATTTATGTCTTGTAATGTGTCCGGAGACTTATATGCTACGTTAAAATTATACATTGTATTGTGCCCAGTGCAGTGGCTTGAGCTTGTAGTCTCAACCACTGTGGAGGCTGAGGTCGGAGGATCACTTGAGGCCAGGAATTCCTGACCAGCTTGGGTGATAAAGTGAGAACCCCATCTCAAAAAAAAAAAAAAAAGTAAGGCCAGATGCGGTGGCTCACACCTGTAATCCTAGTACTCTGACTCTGGGAGGCCGAGGCAGGAGGACTGCTTGAGCTCAGGAGTTCAAGACCAGCCTGAGCAAGAGTGAGACTCTGTCTCTACTATTAATAGAAATAATTATCCAAACAACTAAAAGTAGAAACATATATATGTTAGTCTAAATAAGATTCTTCTATACCATTATAGTCCTCAAAAGATTAAAAAAATTTGACTTCTAGTTCAAATACCGTCTCATACATGTAATGTGAATATAATATTGAAATTTCCACAGGGAATTCTACACAATAATCTCTATGGATTAAAAAATTGAGGCCGGGCGCGGTGGCTCACGCCTGTAATCCTAGCACTCTGGGAGGCCGAGGCGGGCGGATTGCTCAAGGTCAGGAGTTCAAAACCAGCCTGAGCGAGACCCCGTCTCTACCATAAAAATAGAAAGAAATTAATTGGCCAACTAATATATATAGATATAAAAATCAGCCGGGCATGGTGGCTTGTGCCTGTAGTCCCAGCTACTCGGGAGGCTGAGGCAGAGAGTCGCTTGAGCCAGAGGTTTGAGGTTGCTGTGAGCTAGGCTGACGCCACGGCACTCACTCTAGCCTAGCAAGAAATGAGCTGTCTAAAAAAAAAAAAAATTGAAGTCAAATTGGAAATGCTTTCTCTGAATTAAAAAAAAACAAATCACAATTAATAGAGAACATAGTTTTTGCCCTCTGCCCAAAAAGGTGGTTTAAAAAAAAACCTTTTCAAATGTATCAAACACGAGATGGAATCATTTAAAGATAAAGGAATCCGAATAGATGCTATATTTAACATTTTTGTCCTTCTTTGCTGACCTCAGGAGGAACGTCAGTTCAAATTCCTTAGTACAATACTATGGAAGTAGAGTCCTTTATATCCTTATTTTTTATTTATTTGTTTGAGACAGAATCTTGCTCTGTTGCCCAGGCTAGAGTGCCGTGGCATCAGCCTAGCTCACAGCAACCTCAAACTCCTGGGTTCAAGTGATCCTCCTGTCTCAGCCTCCAGAGTAGCTGGGACTACAAGTGCATAAGCACCATGCCCGGCTAGTTTTTCTGTTTTTAGTAGAGATGGAGTCTTGCTCTTGCTCAGGCTGGACTTGAACTCCTGACCTCAAGTGATCCTCCTGCCTTGGCCTCCCAGAGTACTAGGATTACAGGCATGAGCCACTGTGCCCAGCCCAAAATATTTTCTTCTTACAGGGTTGACATAAAGATTAATACACACTCAAGTTAAACAGCATACTTTTACCATGAATCAGATGTTCAATGATTGCTAACTCGGTATCAGCTAATCTTTAACCAAACATGCTCAGTTGACTAGACCATCTTCTCTACAGACTCATTCACACTAAAAAAGAAAAATACAATCTGTCATAGACTAAATTCTTATTTAATAAAAGTCTTTTAAAAAAAAGGAGTTATAAATCTGAATGCTGTTGCTGTTTCTCATAATAAATTAAAATGCAGTATTTTGAGATGAAGGGTTCCAGGGATATTTCAAAGGAGACTTCTAATAAATAAAACAGGGGAATTCCTGACAGTAATAAAGCAAAGAGCAGAGCTTACACAAGAAATAAGTATATCCTTATAAAATGTTCCTGTCCACATTGCTTTAGTAATTAACAACCCCTTTATTTCCCAGTTTCTTTTCATTAGCTAGCAATTAATAACTAGGAATCTGCAGATACTGCTGTTAGAATTGGAATAGTCAATTTAAAAAACATTGGTCTACCCAGAGACTCAGGAGGCTTAGGTGGGCAAATTGCTTGAAGTCAGGAGTTTGAGATCACTCTGAGCAAGAGCAAGACCCCATCTCTACTAAAAAAAAAAAATAGAAAAATTATCCAGGTGTTGTGGCACTTGCCTGTATTCCCAGCTACTCGGGAGGCTGAGGCAGGAGATGACTTGAGCCCAGGAGTTTGAGGTTGCAGTGAACTATGATGATGCCTGGTCAACAGAGTAAGACTCTCTCTCAAAAAAGGGTACAGAGGCTTACTCTTTTTTTTTTTGTTTGAGACAGAGTCTCACTGTGTTGTCTGGACTAGAGTGCCATGGTGTCAGCCTCGCTCACAGCAACCTCAAACTCCTGGGCTCAAGCGATCCTCCTGCCTCAGCCTCCCGAGTAGCTGGGACTACAGGCATGTGCCACCATGCCTGGCTAATCTTTTCTGTATCTTTTTAGTTGGCCAATTAATTTCTATATATCTAATTTTTTTGGTAGAGACGGGTCTCGCTCTTGCTCAGGCTGGTTTCCTACTCCTGACCTTGAGTGATCCACCCGCCTCAGCCTCCCAGAGTGTTAGGATTACAGGCATGAGCCACCGTGACAGCCTTACTCTTATCTTGAAGCCTTATGTCATTACTCTAAGTAATGTCTTTGGGGAAGACATTAGCTTGAAATGACCTCAATCGGTAGTTTTGGATATATACACACATTCAAAAAGCATATTCTCAAACAGCTCATAAGTGATAATATGCTTTGAAAACAATGGCTCCAAAAGGCTCTACTGATGACCAAAACATTGACATTAGAGATGCATTAAGATGTTCTTATATAACATATGATTTTTAAGTATTTTATCTATATTCTTAAAGTTTCATATAGGTTTACAAAAATATGGTTTTGGAGGAATTTTCTTATTGGAAAAATGGGGGTGCAACCTCCCATTTGGCTATATTCGTTGATGATTACCTCCTCAAACAGGCCTTCCCTGAGCATCGACTTATGTATCGTTCAGTCACTCCCTATTAGTTCTTAGTATCAATTATCATGATATGAAACTATTTATTCACATGTTCATTCTCTTTGGAATGAGAATTTCATGAGGGCAGGGACTTTGGCTCGTCATATGAAACTATATGCAGTAATGAAGTCTGTAAGAGTGAGTGGAAAAAAGGTATGGAGGTGAAAGCAAAAGCAGCAAAAGCAGCTGGAGTGGAAAAGTGGAAACTGCTCCAGCAGTTTCTTTAGTTATCTAACTGTTATGGTTTTAAGGTGTCCCTCAAAGTTTGTATGTTGGAAACTCAATCCTTAATGCAACAGTGTTAAGAGGTAGGACCATTAAGAAGTGATTAGGAGCTGGGAGTGGTGGCTCACGCCTGTAACCCTAGCACTCTGGGAGGCCTAGGTGGGCGGATTGCTCAAGGTCAGAAGTTCGAAACCAGCCTGAGCAAGAGCGAGACCCCGTCTCTACTATAAATAGAAAGAAATTAATTGGCCAACTAATATATATAGAAAAAATTAGCTGGGCATGGTGGCCCATGCCTGTAGTCCCAGCTACTCGGGAGGCTGAGGCAGAAGGATTGCTTGAGCCCAGGAGTTTGAGGTTTCTGTGAGCTAGGCTGACCCACGGCATTCTAGCCTCAAAAAAAAAAAAAAAAAAAAAAAAAAGAAGTGATTAGGTTCTGAATGCTCTGCCTTCCTGAATGGATTAAGGCTGATATCATGGGAGTGGGTTTGTTAACGCAGGAGTGGCATCCTTATAAAGGATGAGTTCTACCTCTTGCTCTCTTACCTGTGATGCCTTCCTGCCACGTTATGTCCTCAGCAGATGCAGCCCTGATCTTGGACTCTCCAGCCTCCAGAACTGTGAGCCAAATACGTTTCTTTTTTATAAGTTACCCAGTCTGTGGTATTCTCTTACAGCAAAGCAAAATGAACTAATACACTAATGAAGTCAGCTTTTTTAGATTGTTCTTCATGTAATGGGTATGTGTAAACGAAAAAATGTCTATATTTATGCTTATTTTACAAAAACACAAACAAAAAAACCTGAAATTAGAAGGAATCCAGTTTATTCAGATAATTCTTTAAGTTCCAAAATAATATTTACAAACAAACAGGTTTTTTGCTTACAATGTTTGTTCAATTTAAATCTGTTCTATTTTTTTTTTTTTTCACAATCAGAACACACACTTGAGGGGGAAAATACTCCATTCTTACATATTGTGTCAAAGTGCAGGTTTTTAAATGTAACTGAATTATCATAGTAAGGTTTTTTCTTTTTTTCCCCCAAAGAAATTAAAACCCATGAAATAAAAATATAACAAATACAATGTCAACAGAATCTGAAAGTTGTTTAAAAAGATTGAGTCTTTAACAAATGGATGGCATATTTGACTGTTTCCCAATCAAGGTGTTTTGAAACCAAGTCTGAATATTAATGAAATATCACTTTCCTCAAAATTGGCTTTGTCCAGACTTTACCTCTTCTCATACAATATCGTGAACCTGAATCTGCCCCAGACCCCTTATGAGAAGTTCTCTATCTTCCTTCCCCACCCCCTCTTATTTTCAAAACTATCTCAAGATCACTCACTTCTGTGGCAGTTTCCTAGAACTCATACCTATCTCCTCTTAACCTGTATTACAGTAAACTATAAACAACAAAACAATACTTCAAATATGCCATCTATTTAACTTTTGGGTTTACCAATATTTTTAATAATAAACTTTGTACCATCTTTCTGTAACCAAAGATAATTGACTGAGGCAAACATAAATCAAATGGCTGTTATTCATTTTTTGAACACCAGTTAAAATTACTGTTTCATACCTGTTCAGGAGTTCTGATTAGACAATTTTCAAATAAAGCAAGTACATGGACAAAATGTAAATGTTATTTTAATATTGCTTTAATTGTATCATCTTTTCAAATTCCTTATTTCTTTCAGTTATAGTTGTTTGCTTGCCTTTCCCCCTTTACAGATCTGTATATTAAAGAAGAAGCCTAAGTATTCTGAGTTCCATACTATTTGGTGAATGTGATGAAAGAGGCTTATATTATCCTGGGGGTTCTCAATGTCTTTCTGAATTGAAAAATTAACAAATTATTTATAACTAAAGCAGAATTATACTTTCTTTGGAAGCCTGTGCTAGGCAACATAAAAAGATTGCAAAAACACTGAAGCTTTGCTATCTGTTTCAGCTAAAGCAAATCTCTTTTCAAATTTTAAGATCAACTAGCCACTTGAGAAACGTCTACCTAATTGTGAGGGCTTTTTCTGACTGGGGTCTTACAGAAAATAGGAATAGTTACTGATTAAGAAAGGTAATGTATAAGCAGAGATGTTGCTCAAGATAACAGTTACATACTACATTCTGCTGTCTTATGATAAGAGTTATTACTAAGAGATTTTTCACTTTTGCAGAGTGTTGAAAAAAAATCTACGACCAGAACATTAAAATACTTGTATTTGTGTCACATTAAATTACTGTAAGACTATAAACATTATTCTCTATTATTTGCTACAAAATCATTAAAAGAACCACTAAAATTGTGAAATATAAAAGAAATAATCTTGTAGAAATGGCTCATTGAAAAAGGCATTATTAAAAAGTGCTTCAAAATTCCAATATAATGAATTACACAACTGTTTTTAACATAAAAACAATCTCTAGGAAACACTGAAAGTATGCAAACTAATTTTTTTATTCAAAGTATTTTACAAGTAAAAATTATAAAATACTAAAATTAAAGGAACTCACCATGTTAGACACAGAATTGTAAATTATATGAATAAAGTATCAAGAATTATAAAAGTTACTGGTGACCTATATAGAAACATTCCTACTTTGAGCTCAATCAAATGCATAATACTGTAAACAATGTATTGAAAAATATCAAAAACAAAAATCTGATTTGAAAGATTTTACCATCACTGCTTAACATTAATATGAAATGTTGTTTCCTTTGTAATTGAATGGAAATAATTTTGCTATTTAAGATGTTAGAAATTGATTTATTACCTTATGCGATACACTGTTGCATTTATACATTTTAAAAGGAGTATACGATTTATATTTTCTATCACATTTATACATATTTAAAACTTGTTAAATGTTAAAATAAAAAAATACGTAAAAAGTACTTGGAAAAACTTGTTACATCTCCTTTATTTCAGTAGACGGAAGACTATTTTCAACGTCCTGGCTGAAAGGGTTCTTGTTGCCATGGAGCTGGAAGACAAAAAACCACAAAGATTTATATGAATTAATGATATAGACTACTGATACATTATAGTATAGTGGAAAGAACCATCAAGTTAGAGCCAAGGAGATCAGAGTTCAACGTGCACATCTGCCCCTTAGTATCCATAGGAGCCTGAGAAAGTTATTTAAGGTTCTCTGAGAAGTTGTTTCCTCTCTGTAAAAGAACAGTATCTCTACATCTCTCTCAGTTATCCTGAGAAAATTAAATGTAATAAAGAACAAAATGTGCCTGTCTGGGCTCACTCAAGTACCTTCCTTTAGTTCCATTTTCTAGTGATGAACATAAGCATCATGAGCAAAACAGTGACATCTTTTTAAGGATTCAGTTCCTGTAAGTGTGAGAGGTGATTTCTGTGGATTATTTGCACTCATGAAAACTCAAAGATGTGCACAGGCTGGGTGCAGTGGCTCACACCTCTAATCTCAGCACTATGAGAGGCTGAGGCGGGAGGTCATCTGCGGCTGGCAGTTTGACTCTAGCCTGGGCAATAGTGACACCCTGTCTCACCCTGTCTCTACAAAAATCCCAAGAAAAATGAGCCTGGCGTGGTGGTTCACGCCGACAGTCCCAACTACTCGGAGGCTAAGGCAGGAGAATCGCTGGAGCCCAGGAGTTTCAGGTTGCAGTAAGCCACGATGAAGCCACCACACTCTAGCTTGGGCAACAGAAAGAGACTCTGTTTTTAAAAAACAAAACAAGAAAGATGTGCTTATGACATTGCAATTGCCTCAATTTTTTAAGAGAGTAAATTCTGATCACTATAATAAGCAAAACTGTTTCTTTTTCTTTTATGTTCATTTGACATTTAATTAAAGGGGTAACAATATTTTTGAGAGTCATAGCTGAACTTGATTCTGGATCTATCTTTTTTTTTTTTTTTAAGAGTCAAGAGTCTTGCTCTGTCACCCAGGCTGGAGTGCAGTGGCATGACTATAGCTCCCTGCAGCCTAATAGAGAAAAATTTTCAAGTTCCCGAGCAAACTACCAAGTTCTCCTACTAATACAGTTCAAATAACTCCTTTCACTTACACCAAGATATTTTTTTTTTCTGAGACAGAGTCTCACTTTGTTGCCTAGGCTAGAGTGAGTGCCGTGGCGTCAGCCTAGCTCACAGCAACCTCAAACTCCTGGGCTCAAGCGATCCTCCTGCCTCAGCCTCCCGAGTAGCTGGGACTACAGGCATGTGCCACTATGCCTGGCTAATTTTTTCTATATATATTAGTTGGCCAATTAATTTCTTTCTATTTATAGTAGAGACGGGGTCTCGCTCTTGCTCAGGTTGGTTTTGAACTCCTGAGCTCAAACGATCTGCCCGCCACGGCCTTCCAGAGAGCTAGGATTACAGGCATGAGCCTCCGAGCCTGGCCACACCAAGATATTTTATTAGAAAATTGAGAAAAAGAGAAAAGTTGCTTTATCTGATTCAAGTTTCTTTTCCTACCTTGGTCTTTTACTCTATATTTTCTTCCAATTATCAAAATAATGTATGCTTCGCCGGGCATGGTGGCATACACCTGTAATCCTAGCACGGTGGGAGGCCCAGGCCAGAGGATTGCTTGAGCTCAGGAATTCAAGACCAGCCTAAGCCAAGAGTGAGACCCAATCTCTACTAAAAATAGAAAAAAATTAGCTGGGTGCAGTGGCTTGAGCCTGTGGTACCAGCTACTTGGGAAGAGTGAAGCTTGAGCCCAGGAGTTTGAGGTTGCTGTGAGTTCATGGCACTCTAGCCTGGGCAACAGAGTGAGACATTGTCTCAAAAAAAAAAAAAAAAAAGTATGCTTCATAGAAAATACAAAAAATACAGAAAAACATTCTCCACACACCCCAAATTTTACCACTTGGAGATAAACAAATGTTGGTGTATTTCATTTCAGTATGCCTATGCATTTTCCTTATTCACAAAGTTTTTATGATACAGTTTTTAAAACTGTCATGTCATTAAAAACTACTAACTTTTTCATGGCTCCATTATATTTCACTGTATGGATTAACTATAATTTACTTAATGATTCCCTACAGTTTGGTTTTAATAAAGGACATGTTAGTGATATTACCAGGTCTTTTTAATTTTTGACAACTAGATTTCCACCTGACAACACAATTCAACTCTGCTCGACCTGCAGACAATTCTACAAATCTGCATAGAAAAATGACTGCTCTCAGTGTATGTATATATATTTCACTTATTGTGAATTCCATTTACATAAATGTACAAAGTAAAAATTCAATGAACAAAACATTAAAACTTGTGAAACTCACTATAAATCCAAGAAAATTCTGGAAGTACAGCTGGATTAGGAAGATAAGGGTATGCAGCTTGTAATGGTTGATGAGAAGCATACTGTGAAAAAATCGGCTGCTGAAAACTGTAAGAAATAGGCATTTGAGATTGAAAATACCCATTCGCTGGCACAAAGCCATGTGCTTGTGGCTCACCAGCAAAGTAACTAAAACATTGAGAATACAGAAGATTAGAATGTGTGCTTTGGACAGTACTTGCAACTGCAGTCAACATCCCAGAAGAAGGTGGCTGTACTTCGTATGATGTTATCTCTTGGTACGTCTGGGTAATAGTGTTGCCATTGCTGCTGCTGTAATGATAAACACACCAAGCATAGTATGGATATGAAGTTCCAAATGAATTTTCTGAAGAATTATACACTGGGGTGCATGCAGACTGTGGAAGTTCATCCCGACAAGTGGCAGCATTCTGAGTTAGGACTTTTGAATTTTCATCATTTTGTTGTTCAGAAAAAGAGTACTCTGCCGTTTGATTCACATTAAGGGTTATGTGTCCAGATGCTTCAAAAGAAATAGTACTCGGATTCAATGTATCCTTCATGTATTTCTCCTCTGCCTCAGATTTTGCAGACTGTGTTTTACTTATTTCCAGAACAGGAATTCTTTTCTGGATAAATATGGGTTCTGGAGAAGTCATGCACGTGGAATTTTTAATAGATGAATTTAATACTTCATTATCTTGAAGTTCAAGGACTGTGTCATTCATTTCTAGATTGGTATGGATATCCTTCACAAAATGGAAAACAGGCTTTGAGAGCACTGATGTATTAGGCTCAAGAGAAGCATCAGCTCCTGGTTTTATGTCTAAAAGACAAGACTGCTGTGTGGAATCTGAAGAATTTTTAAGAAATTTCTGTGAAAATGTCTCATGGTCCTTCGAAAATGTGCCATCTGTACTTTTTTGGTCACAAATCACAAAAGCAGCGCAATCTTTCTTATCACTGTTTGTTTCAGCAGCACAAAAATTCTTATTTTTCTTCTTCATGCTATTTAAATTTCCCTGCTGTCCAGTGAAGTGTTGTGAAGTATCAGATGAAATATTTAAATCAATTTTGCTTTCTGCCTTTAATGAGCAAGAGTCTTTTAGGTTCTTTAAAGGTGAAAGTGATCCAGGTAATAATCTTTGCATTTCAATCTTTTCTGGTGATAGTACATGGTTTCTTTTCAGATTGCCAGAGGAAGTAGATTCCATTTTCTTTTCACTTTTGGGATGAGATTCTGTACTCCTATTAAGTGTAACACATATAAACAAGCAACTTTAAATACACAGTGTCACAAAATCTTAACATAAATATATATCTGAAATTTCTATTTAGGAGAAGAGTTCTTAAGACTCACATTTTCTCATTCTATTGGCAGTATACAAGTAACATTTTCCCAGTTTTATTGCCTTGGTTTGAATTTAGATGTTTTTTCTGAAGATGTTATCCTCCACATATTAAATGTATTTCCAATACTGTAAAATAAACTATTTTGTCCTTCAGACATTTCCTGATAGAGGTTTTTTAAAGTAGGAAACTATCACTACTGAATTGTACAGTATAGCTTCTAATTTTATATACCTCCAACCCATTGAGAATCTTCATTACTAATTGTAACTGATAAAACTACCAGCTGTTTCCCACCTCAAAAGGTCTCTTCTCTCTGTGTTATAACACACTAAGATGTTTTTTGTCTATTCATCCCTAAGAGTAGGAAAAGCAGACCTCCAAAATTTCCTGCCAATTTAATATTCTTGGCAATCTTACCTAAATTTGGACAGTCTAAAGCAGGCTGAAAGAAGCGTTCCTATGGGAATATTTAGAGCTGAACAGTTAATAAAGATTCCCAAGGTAATTCTCACTGTAGCCTTGGACTCCTGGGCTCATGGGATCCTACTGCTCAGCCTCCTGAGTAAGCTGGGACTACAGGTGCACGCTATCATGTCCAGCTAATATTTTAAAATTTATTCTTATTTTTCTAGAGATGGGGGATCTCACTGGAAGTAATATTTCTCCATAGGCAAGACATATTCATCTTTGGCCTCGAATTTCTATCTCCCATGTAGGAATAAAAAGGCCCATATTTTATGGAATCCAGCCTCTTCAAAAGGCATTTTAATAATGATCTATTAATACATGGTCATCCAGTTCCATATCATACTTTGAGATCCCATAAAGTATTAATTTTGATTTTATTGCATTTCCAACGTTTCAGTGGTGTCTTGAACCTGAGACTGGCAGCTGCCTCAATGGTCTGTCCCTTTATGTCATCCTCTTAGGGAATATTTATTTTTATGAAGACAGCACCCTACATTACCTTATACTAGAATTCATTTTTCTCCAGTGAGTCAGTTTATTGTTTGAGAAGCAAATAATGTCTATACTTAGTTAACAAAGCTAAGATGATTATAAAACTGTTTTTATATTATCTAATTAAGCCTATTCATTTTTATGTCACTACACAACTATTCAGTCATATATGTCAGAAAAAGGATTCTAGAAATGAAGTAAATGTTATATTTAAAGAAGCAAAATCAAGTAAGACAGAAATGAGGTTGCATATTTCTTTTTATATTACTCATTATCCTTCACAAAAAAAAAAAACAAAAAACAAAACCCACGCTAGTCACAAATTCAAAATCCTACAGAGTTGAATGACACAAGAAATGGTCAAGTCTAGTGGTGTCAATTCATATCAAAATGAGAAAAATATAATGTGAGTTTT